AACATCATTAGGAATACAAACAGGTTTACAATCATGCATGTTAAATTTTCTTAAAATAGTTTCAACATAATTAGATTGTTTTAACAATGTAACACCTTTATCTCTATCACATTGAATTTCAATGCCTAAACAATATTGCATTTTACCAAGATATTTCATTTCAAACATTTGCATCAATTGTTGTTTAGTCAAATCTATTAGTTTTATAGAATTTGATAACAATATGAAATCGTCAACATAAACTGCTATTACAACAATTTTGGAATTTGAAAATCTGTAATAAACACAACAATCAAAAGTTGAACAATTGAAACCAATTTCTTTAAGTTCATTGTCTAACTTTTTATACCACGCACGTCCTGATTGTTTTAATCCATTTACAGCTTTTTGAAGTCGACAAACGAGTTTACTTTCACTTCCCCTTTCATTGGAGACTTCCAAACCTTCAGGAATTGTCATTTCCTCTTCAATTGTTCCTTGTAGAAAAGCAACAACTGCATCCAGGTGATGAATGTCCCAATTGTATAATGTCGCTATTGCTAACAAAATACGTAAAGTTTCATAACGAACAACAGGTGAAAATGTTTCAGTGTAATCTAGTCCCTCCTTTTGCGAATATCCTTTGGCAACAAGTCGAGCCTTATAACGATTAAGAGTTCCATCGGAATTACATTTCAGCTTAAAAATCCACTTTGACTTAATTGGAATTCGATTTTCTGGTAATTCGGTAACTGTCCAAGTACGATTTCGTTCATGAGCTTGCAATTCTTCTTCAATTGCCCCTTTCCATTTGTCAGCATCAGGTCTACTCAATGCTTCTTGTAGGTTGAGAGGAGCATCTAAAAATTCTTCCTCAGTATTACTTATAGCAACTTGGCATCGGTGCATTTTGGGAATTTCGACTTCACAATCATCGTAACGAGAAGGTAGACGAATTTGACGGATTGTCCTTCGTGACGTTTCCGGAATTGACGCTTCAGCTTCTACTCGTACTTCAGATTCGGTTTCCTTTTCAACTTCGTGAACTTCGGGCTGTACTATCCTACTAGTGGTACTCGTGCAAGTTGTATCATCTTCGTAAAATGTAGAATTGCCCATCTTTACGGGAATTATTTCATTTTCAACTTCGTTTTTGAAATTTTCTATGAAGATTACATCTCGAGCTTCAGTAACTTTGTGTGTGACAGGATCTATCAGCCGATACCCTTTACTGGTTACACTATAGCCAACAAAAATCTTTTCTTCAGATTTATCGTCAAGTTTCGAACGATTTGCTTTGGGTATGTGCGTAAATGCACGACATCCAAATGTTCGCATATGACTTAAATCAGGCTTTTCGCCCGTCCACGCTTCAAATGGTGTCATGTGTGAAACAGCAATTGTTGGACTACGGTTTTTACAATAATTTGCGGTACAAACAGCTTCCGCCCAATATGAATTGTCGAGGTTTGCTTCCGTTAACATAGCCCGTGCCTTTTCGATTAGTGTACGATTGCAGCGTTCGGCTACTCCATTCTGCTCAGGGGTGTGAGCAATTGTTAATTGATGATGGATTCCTGTTTCACTAAAAAATGTCTCTAATTGTTTGTTAACGTACTCACTGCCACGATCCGAACGTATAGCTTTTATTCGTTTACCGGTTTGATTTTCAATGTATGTACGAAATTCTGAAAGTTTAGTAAACACTTCATTTTTAGTTTTTAGAAACGATACAAATGTCATTCGCGTGTAATCGTCAATAAGAGTAAGTACATACCGCGCACCTCCTATCGAAGGAACGTTCATTGGCCCGCACAGATCGGAATGCAGTAGTTCAAGCACCTCTGTTGCCCGATGTACTTTCTTCTGTGGAAAAGGCAATCGATGTTGTTTACCCTTAATACATGAAACACACGCTTCCATTGTTCCTGAGTATTCTAAACCTTGTACCATGTTGCGTAAACGATCAAGTCCGCCACAACTTAAATGTGCAAGCCGTCGATGCCAGAGCATAATCGGATTAACGGACGATACTGCTAATGCGTTTAATTTGACGGTATCTAAAAAATATAAGTTGTCTCCATGAGCTGTACCTGTGGCGACAATTTTTCCTGTTGCCTTTTGTACCATTTTACATTCATGAGCATCGAAGATCGTAATTATACCTTTATTTCTAGCCAGGTATTTTACTGAAATCAGATTTGTGGTTAGTTCGGGTACATACAGAACATTGTTGATTGTTAATTCAACCATGCAGTTATCTCTTGAAATGTTAACTAAAACAGAACCTTTGCCTACACTCGCAATTGTAGCGCCGCCAGTTTTTACTGGACACTTGGGTTCTTCTTGGTAATTATGCAACCACTCTTGATGGGATGTCATGTGCATATCGGCACCGGAGTCGATGATCCAAGGTTCACTGCTCGTTCCGCGTTCAGTACTCGATGAAGATGAAGCTATCCATGCCTCCCTTACTTTAATGGTTGATGCACTTCCAGATGAGCCTCTTTTACTTCCTTGTGTACTTGCATTGGTCTGCTTCGCTCCCGTTGCCCCTTTGTTTGGACAAAATTTTGCCTTATGCCCGAATGCTTTACAATAATTGCATTTCCCTTTAAAAGTATAGCCTTTGGTTGTCGTATTACCCCTCGTTTTCATAATTAAAGCATTTTGCGATGGTGGTGTCATCTTCACATATTCAGCTTGCAGTTTTTCACATACCAGGTCCGTTGTTAATTCCATAACGCTGTTTTCTAGTGCCATTGTCAAAGGACGAAAGTATTCAGGCAAATTGGTGAGTATATTGGCCGCAACCGCTTGATCTGGATAAGCAGGTAAAATTGCCCTCATTTTACTACCAATTGTCTTCATTTTCTCTAAGTATTCTGCCATGTCTTTGCAATTTTCAAATCTTGTTGCAAACATTTCTTGATTCAATGAAATAAAACGGTTAGGATTAGTGTCGGAATATAATTTGTTGAGTCGTTCCCACATGTCCTTAGCTTTTTCACAATGTTGAATATCTTTAATTATGTGACTCTCTACACTACTAACTATTGCAGATCTTGCTCGTTTGTCTTTGACATGATCATCAACAGTGCCTAGACAAAGTTCAAATAAATCACGATCCTCTAAGTGGTACCTTAATGTAAATTTCCACTCGTTGAAATTTTTACGACCTGTTAATTTGTCAAACGTGGCTGGAACTGTATTCGGCAGGTGAATTGTTGTTGTCATTGCTGTTACGCCAGCTTCGTTAGTACGTTGTTGCAGGTTATCGTTAGGCATTTTAACGCTTGGACTCCCTTTTAACTACGCCAAAAAAAAAATTGGATCTACACGTGTTCTTCAAATTGCACTTGTGACTACTCTCAGCATTTATTCAACTTTTTACTTTTCTCAAACCCTGGGCCCATAACCTATTGGAACAGAGTATTTATCAAGTATAAAAGTTTAATGCTTGTTTAGTCCGATACACTTAACATAAAATATAAGTTACAATACAGCCATTTTGGCTAACATCAACGAACGTACATTTTACAATACGAACATAAGCGACATCTATGATATCTATAACCATAACGTCAATGTTTTAAATCTGG